CACACATTTTGTTTTTGGCTATTGCTACAAATATACCCCAGCGACTTAAGACTGCTTTTGTGCTCCAGGGTCACATATAGTAAGTACATGTAGTTAATTAATATTACTCCGTACTTAAATGTATAATTACACTATAAAAAGGACACCTTAAAATAAAGTGTAACCAGAGATTTATACTTTACAGAGAAACTTCTTGATTCAATCTTATTATTATTATATATTTTTAAATAAAATAAAATAGGAAGTATCAATAAAAAGGAAGTAAACATTGTAACCAGCAGTGCACACTGGAGAGAAAAAAAAAATATTTTATATATATATATATATATATATATGTGTGTGTGTGTATAAAGTACACAGCAAATATGACATGAATATCACATATTCTAAGCACTGTCAAAATGAAATTGGCCAAACAGAACAACTGCCAAATATCGGCCCTATCACATACAACTTTACAATTACTCTAAAATGTGGCAAATAGAAATTACAGTAATAATAATAAAATGAAGAAAAAAAAAATGTGCAAGTGTCCAAAATTTTAGCTTTTTATATATAAACATATATTTTGTTTATTCTTCATACCTTTTGACATTCGATCTGTTTTTCAAGCATTTCTTGTTTCTTCTTCCTCATGTCTTGCTGCAGTTTCAGCGCCTCCTGAAGGCCAGAGGTCAGAGGTCACATTAGCTCACTCATAAGTACATTCCAGACTGTGCAATCCAAGCAGGTGGAACTGCTGCTATCAGCTTACCGAGGTGAGAAGGAGAAAGGAAATACTCACCTGCTTCTTTTTCAAAACCTCCTGAGCTTCCAGTGCTTTGCCCGTTTTTCCCAATGATTTTGATGCGGTTTTCAACACTGTGCGCAAGAACGGACCCTTCTGTAAACTTGAAGGTGGCGTCAAACCCTTGTTTGACAGAGAATTTAAAACAAGTGTTGATTATGAACATATATTACATTTGTATAAACACACACACACATATATATATATATATATATATACACACACACACACACACACACGCTTTACTGCTCTTATGCTTACAATTTTAACATTTTAAAATGTAATTTATTCATGTGATGCAAAGCTGAATTTTCAGCATCTTCATCTTCAGTCTTCAGTGTCACATGATCCTTCAGATATCATTCTAACATGCTGATTTGCTGATCAAAAAACATTTATTATGTTGAAAAATGTTTTTGCTGCTTAATATTTTTGTGATCATGATACACAACCATTCAAAAAATTACTTCTATTCCGAAAGGACACGTTAATTTGATCAAAACATTTGTGATGTTGCAAAAGATTTCTATTTCATACAAGATTTCGATTTCATATGTGGTTCTTTTGAACATCAAAGAATCCTTAAAAAACAAACAAACAACCAAACAAAAACAAAAAACACGTATCAGGGTTTCCACAAAAATATTAAGAAGCAAAACCTCTTTAACATTAATTACAATAGTTCCTGAGCACCAGTAATAATTGATAATACTATTTTTGATCAAATAAATATGGCCTTGGTGAATATGAAAGACTAATAATAATAATTCTTATTCCAAACTTTCACCTGGTAGTGTATATACACATAAAACTATACAGTAAGTGGACCCTGGGGAAGAAATTAAAATGCGCTTTATGATCAGAACTTTTTAGACTGGGTTTTACCGATCCCTAGATTGGGTACTTGTTTGTATGTATTCTCTCAGTCAGATGTGTGCAAACATTCATGTGCTTTCTTTACCACTGAAGGTTCCTGGCTTGGGCTGGTAAGTTCAGTGCTGCCTGTTGTGCCTGCGGCTCCTGTGGCAGTCTGCTGTTTAGGGAAGGTTTTATTCAGCACATAAGATCCTGCGGTGTGCAGCTTATTAATGACCTGCAAACAAAACTAAATTCAGTCAAAGAATGTAGACAAATGGGAAACCAAGTCTCATCCATGGATGAACAGTCACATACGGAATATCAATTAATCATTTTTGGGTGAACAGTCTCTAAAAACTGACACAATTGTTTCAGTGGGATCTCAGAAATATCAAAAATAGGACTGGCCAGTAAGAGTCTGTTCCCCAAATATTAGAACAACACCACAATGGAACCGCATAGGAATATAATGTATTGCACATTCCAGTTCTAATGTTGTCTGAATATGATAATCCATCAGCATCACACACTTCTGACAGACCTTGTGAGTTGCGGGATGTTGGTGTCCAGGGTTTGTGCTCTGACTGGGTCCCTGTTCCTGTGAGTTGGATGTGGCCTCTCGATGCCAGTACACTCTGATGAAGCGGTTATTCAGAACAGCTTCGGTGCTGGAGATGGCCCTCCGAGCCTCATCGTTAGCGGTGTACTGGATCAATGCCGCCTCAGGGTCGCCCCCAAACACCACCTGTGGAAATCACAATACAGGATGCAGTTTAACTTCAGAATCAGTACTACAACTACATTAAGTGATCTGTGCAACAAAAGTATTACATGACCACAATGACAAAAGCAATCTTGTTGAGAAAGTAGGGCTGGGTATCGAGGGCTGGGTATACTTTTTAGCCACTGACCGAATTGCCTCGATACAATTGAGTATCAAAAAATGTCCTGTCGTTCGGTACCAAATTTCGATACCTAAGGGGTTAATCTCGTCCACTTCAGAGAGCCAATAAGCATGCTTGATGTGCCTAAATCAAGTGCTGGTGATTGGCTCTGGTGAGGCATCATGAAAAAACACTAGTTTATGCCGGTTACGCCCATGAGGCTGTAAGTGTGTAAGTGTCCCAACCCCCATAGATGTAAGGCTATTTATAAGCCTTCCGGTCGTGATCTAATGTGTGTTTTGGCCATCTAATGTTGCTATTTGTAGCCTTTCATAGCAGGCTAATCGCTACTGCTTAGCTTTTCTCATGTAAACACCCCGTATTGTTATGAAAATAAGCAGAATCTCATGAAAATCACATACAAATCATATACTGTTGTAATCGTGTGTTTATTAGCTTCATGTTTCAACCATAGAAATGTTTTTCTGGGTTTCTTACGTACGGAACTGAACGTGGAAGTGTAATGGACGTTCGTTATCGTAGACAGGGCGGGTTATGAACGTGTAATATGATTGACATTAGGGCTGTGCGATATGGACAAAAAAAACCTATCGCGATTTCTTTAATAAATTTTGCGATTTCGATTTTAATCACGATTTTGACACACACAGACATGCTTTACAGTCATTAATGCATTCAGTGTGAATTTGAAACATATTTCCAAAAGAAAACCAATTAGAGCTTTATCAAGAAGCTGTAACATGTCTCTAGAACAGACATAAGGCAAAATAATCACTAAGTAAAGGTGTAACAAAATGTCTCTAGAATAGACATATATGGCAGAAAAAAAGAAAAAAAAACCCGTGTCCAGGGATTTATTTTTTTGCCATGCATTGGTCATAGAGCTCTTTGTGGCATTGCCTGGTTCGGATAGCATACTGCGGGAGGTCGGGGGCGCGGAAAATCGTGCTATAAAGCGATTTAGAAATCGTGCAAGCTCAAATCGCGATTTTATCACGATTTCGATTAATCGCACAGCCCTAATTGACATATGAGCAGCGAATGAGCTTCCTCTGAGTCAGAACAGCGATCGCAGAAGAGAAAACACAGACAGCGCTGGAAGCAGCTAATGCTCATCAGTAAATCAGTGGAAAATGAATAGAAATTATGACTCTGTCTGAGCTATGTGTTTTAAAATGAAACTAATGTAAACTTAGCTCTGATAGATGTGGAAACTGAAAACTATCTACACTGATTTATTGTGTTGGTTACATCTTGTTCCTTTGTGCAGTGGCTCAGGAGCGAGACTGTAAAAATGTCAACAAGCTGAAAAAATAAAACCAAAGTTCAGGATCATTTCAAAATCATTCAGGAACCGGTATCAAAGTCAAGGTATCGGTATTGATACTGAACATTTTTTAACGATACCCAGCCCTATGAGCAAGTGTGTTGAGCAAAAATGTAAGCAGTTGATAATCTATTCACAATTTGAGTTGAATTACTGAAATAAATGAACTTTTCCACGACATTCTAATTTATTGAGATGCACCTGTATATAGAATGTTTACCTGGATGTTGACTATTGTTCCAAACTTGCTGAAGTGCTCATTGAGTTTGGTGATGTTGTTGAGCTCCCGGGGGATTTTGCGGACCTCTAGTTTGGTGTTGACGTAATGGTTCTTTTTTGGGAAGGTGGGCTTATGCTGGTTATTGAAATTTTGCCTGTAAAACAGAAAATACCCCATTACATAACAAAAGCAGAACATCCTCCTCTTGCATCATTATAGTTTCCTTCACGCTCCAGGATTTCATTATATATTCTATATAAATATGTGACCCGTGCTGGCAAAATGAGTCGGAATGCGCACGGGCTAATTTTGAGCTACAGGCAAAAAAAAAAAGGTGAAAAATGTCGATTTTGAGGTTTTCACAAAAATGAGTTCATTAAGCCCTCGTCTAGCGATCCCAATGCTCCAAATAATAATTTTAGATGTTTAATTACCTTCATTTGTACGTTTTCTGAGAGGAGTACCTTTTCGCTGTTCGCTTCTCACGCTGACTGTCATCTACAGTGCGCGATCCCGATAAATATACACATATACACAGAATTACAGTATTTAAGTATTCACGCAGACATAATCTGTTATGTCTTAAGTGAACATTTGGGGAACTATTGGGGAAAAACATCTGATGTGTAACATTATATTAGATCCGTGCATTACAGTAGGTCTTAATATAGGCCGCCTCATTAATGGTAATCTAACAATAAAAGAGGGAATCACTCGCTGCTCTTGATTGAACTGCTT